AGCCCGTCCAGCGAGGTACAAGGTGGCTAATTCAAAGTACAAAAGTGGCGCCTCACCAATGCTGAGGGATAAACTACTATCGTATTGCATTGTACTTTTGTTGGGTAGGCTAGCTTCTTGGTCATACCAGTAGCCCTAGTTCCTTCTGCATATAGAATGTATATGTAAATTCGGCTCAGGAATTATGGCTTCCCTTGCGTTCTGGGGAGGATAGGTGGGCTATATTAATGAAAGCAAAAAGCAACCCTACATCAACGGAATCCTATCTCAACTTCTACTGTTAGATAAATAAATTTTTTTGGGAGTAAAAATGCATGTGCTACGGGTGAGCGAATTTGAGACGACCCATAACAGAAGGACTGAGAATAACGTTCACCTTTAGCAGTGTCCCTAGTCTTAGATACCAAGGAATAGCTATTACTAGCTGAAGTGGTGCCAACTATGAACCAGCTGGTAAGATGCGTGCCAGGAAGAGGAGTAGACATGCAATTAATTAATTGTTAAGCCCTCTGATTTTGGTAATCTGACACTCTGTGTTTTGGTTGTTGTAAATTCACCAGATGGGCTAGTTGTGTGCCAAGCCAGTACCCCCAACCCCTACTATATGCTGTAAATATATATCCTGCCTAAATATTACGTCTTTATTCGTCTTCTGAGAAGCCTTAAGACACCATGAAATAGCATTTACAGTCACTAAATGTTGCGAACATAAATTCTTCCTTAAGCTTAACCTTGCTGGAAAACTAGTAGACGCGTACTGGATGAGCTGGAATACAAACTGGTCAGACACACTTTCACCGAAGATTTAATGGTGTCGTCAAATTCTATCACTAACACGCAGTGGTTGCGATATTTCTCATATACATTATATATCTAGTAGACCAATAAACGTAGAGTTGCATGCATGCCCTGTAATGTTATCAAGCATACGTTAGCAGATAATTCTCCCACTGCCTAGTATCAATTATTCATAATTGTGCCTGTCTGCCTATGATAGAATAAAAATGCTGATATCTTGTGAGGATCTGCTTTGTTGTTTTGTGTGAACTAACTGACTCAATTGACTTCTCCTTAGAGCCCAAAATTAGTCAATATAGTCAACATTTATACAAGTAATTGCGACGTCTCATGCCAACTGAAAGAGCTAGGAGTATGTCAAATACCCTTTAGCCCTTGACGCCCAACGCAAGCACAGACTGTGAAGAGTAAACTTTCCGAGTAGGAAAGCACTAGGTTGTGCAGGTAAGAAGTCAATAAATTCTTCTAAACCGACCTAATCGAGAGTTAAAATTACGAGATAAATAAAACAAGTTCAAAGCTGGTGTGCACAATGTTTTGCTACTTTGTAAGTTTGCCTATGCGTAAACATATTTCGAGTTGTAATGTAAGGTATTCTATAGAGATGAAGAAGAGTTGTAACCCTCTCGAGTTTCAAACTAGCGTAAAACTTATGCGCATACAATTTAACTGGACTTTTAGGGTGGAAAGTTTTCATCGATTACAAATCTGGTAGCAAAGGGAAGTCGAAATTCCCAAAGCAGAAAGCTCAGAACACATTTTCCTGGACCTTCATTCACCTATTGGCTTTTACTGACAAAAGTGTTTTTGTTGAATCGGTCTCTTTTATGTTAGCGGTTTGGAGGCCAGTGAGAAAGAGATGAGTAAGGAACCTGCTGCGAAAGTAAATGTCGTCTTTTAAATAAGCAAACATGTCATGTCCTTGATCGTAATTGGGCAGTAGTTAACGGTGGTTCTTTCGAAGACTGTTTGACGCTGGTTGGTCGGGACATTGTGGGGTCAATTTAATTTACTATTTTTTGACGATTCGAAGTCACGTGAAGCATTTCATGCGTTATGGAAACAAATTCTTTGGACGAAGTGGACCACAATGTCTCCGAGACGACTGCTGTTAATGCTGATCCTGAGCAAAACATCCATCAGTCTAATGCTACTTCCGTTAAAAAGGAAGATGCTAAGTCTTCGGACGAAAAGAGGTTCGAGTTTTCTTCTCATGTGATTTTTTAGATTCTCCTTGTCTGCGTTGTCTGATCTTCTCGATGAATTTCTAAATAAGGGTGATATACCGGTATGCTCTTGTCGTTAACTTTACCTTTTTCAGGAATCATGTATTGATCAAGCCTTGATTCTATTGAGATTTTCGCCAACTGCACTCATCGATGTAGATGAGTCCTCTATCGTTGCCACTCTTTTGACTGCAATACAAAAAGCCGATGAACTAGCCGCATCGAAATATCTCCTTCTTTTGTCGGGCCTTCTCTCTTTTACTGTTTCTTCGAGGAGCTTACGCCTTATTATTAATTATCTTATGTCTTCTAACAGAATTTGGGTACATCTCCGTCTGTCTCATTATTTTACTAGCGCCCCTACTCCTATGAGCTCATTCATCAACTGAAAATAGCCTCCAGTTTTCCCAATAATATGTCCTTCTTTATATTTCCTGGAGAATCAAAAAGCGTAGTTATTTTGTTACTAAAAAGTAATTTTCTAGATATTGACGATTCCACCGATTTCCAAATTTCCATATCAGAATGGTTGGACTTTCCAGTCTTGGGTCTACATTGACCCGCCTCTATGTAAGCTCAGTGAAGTGAAACCTCGGTATCTTTTTAGGTGAGTTTACTTAACACTTTAATTTCTCGCTATGTAGTTTTCAAACGGACAAAGGACTTGGCTATACCGCCCATTTCCTGGGCACGTTATTTATAATTACCTCAATCAGAGCTAAAGACAAAGGACTACAACACTGCGTCCCTACAGAATTTCACCCCTGTCGAGTAATTTTGCTACACAGGATCCCCTATTATCCCTTTTAGTGGTATATGTTGACCATCGCATTTGTCTACAACCGTTGGACTAAATCTGAGCTGAGGTGTTACGTCAATGGAAAGATCACTTCCAGTGTCGAAATGGCTTGGCCAATCACAGGGTCAGACCCCTTCGAGAGGTGCGTCATTGGGGGGTCTTTCGACCAGAGAGATGAAAACGTCTTCTCTGGACGCATTGCTTCCATCACCGGATTTACAGAGGCGCTATCACCTCAGCAAATTTCCGCCCTATATACCCTAGGCCCGAATTACAAGGCAGGTGCTCCTTTACCATACACCTAATCGCTAGATTTGAGTTGGCGTTTGAGTATATTCCCTTTTGCCTTTTCAGGGTCAACTGAGATTCGAATCTGAGGTTAAAGGACTTCTGTCAGAGACAGGGTGCAAGGCACTGATTGAGAGCAAATTGTCCGCTTCCATCATGTTTGTCTATCATCCTTTGGCGTGCGATCACAACCTATGTTTGGACCAATCTCCAAAACTGAACGCTGTTTTTGCGCATTCGCCTCATGGACTTATGCAAGGCGTGAGCTGATATTAAAGTGATATATTCGTTTGGGCTTAAACAGCACAATTTGAATGTTACATGTATTCACTGCTTTCTAGTTGTGTACACTTTGTGATATTTGTTTTGTTTACTTTTAAACAAGCACCTACTTATAAATACCTTTGGCTGGAAATAACTTTTGTTGTCTGCAATCGTTAGCTAAAAAGGCATCAAATTGCTTTGATTAGCCGATTTTCGGTCGTATTTCATGACTTTTGTATCTATCATTCGAAAGTATTTTTTTGTATTTCACCGATTTTTAACGGATATCGTGAAATATCTACCACTTATTCCAACTCCATGAACAAGCTGAACTGAGTAGTATCGACTGGAAATAGCCAATCTCCTTTATTTTAGACCGCTGAGTGTGACACACTCCTTTGATTTCTATGATTTTCCTCTTGTCCTTTACATGGACTAGAAGGTGCGGTCTGTCCGAACAACGTCCCTGCAATCCTCCATACAGAGTCTGGGAGGCATTCAGCTGCTTTACCTCCTATTTGAGCAGTTGGATTTCGCGCTAGAGAACGCAGTGGACCCTGATAGACCCCAAGACGATGTGAAGCCCTTCCCCATAGCGTACGTTTCTTATTCTCCTCAATCAAAGGGTTCTGTTTCTATTTTACAACCTCTGCTTTGATATGAAAGGTCATTTCGTAGTGGTCTTCAAATTAGGCTCCAAATATCACATTTGATTTATTAAGAAATCATGCTCTGTTAATAATTTATTTACCTAAAAACATGGGCAATTAGTTTGCTATTACACCAAATTTTAATCTTTAGTGAGCATCTCCCATTCACCTGGGGGGATGGCTATCTTTTATTTTCGGCACTGTTTAATGTGTGGCTCTCTGTCCTTTTTCAAGCGAAAATTCGTTAGTGCTTTTTTGTGTATTGCCCTGCGTAAACTCCGGCTATGCTCCAGCAGTCCGTCACCACGACATGAATATATGCATGACGAGTGTGCTATCCGGTGCCATTGTGTTCCTGCTAGAGAGGGGCCTTACATTACTGCAGAAAATGTAGGTTTGTAATAAATCGGTATTTCTACAGCAAATTCTCACTCTTTAGTCTTGTGTTACAGCAGAAACTTTCTTCAGCATTACTATTTGCCAAATTGCGCACGTAGCGCTGCATCGGTTTCGAGAATAACTTAGATGAATTAGTTTTGGTTAATCTTTCACTCACTGGCCTCTTCCACAGTGATTGGGCATTTCTCTATCGAGCGAAGTACAGCTATAAATTTTCACTAACAACTTACTTTAATTAACCACCATCCATTAATTCATATCACTGTACTTTTTCGTCAGTTCAGTTATTCATCATACTCCTGACAGTTATATAACGCGGCAAAAATCACACTCATTCATCAAAAGAAACTGTTGTTTACACCGCAAGGCGCTATTGACAATTCTGGTGACAATTTTGATCATCATGACTCACGGATCCATGAACCATCTGGTAAATACTGAGTTTTGGATTTCTTGGGAGAAGTCAGTTCCACTGATACAAAACGGGGCCGGATTTGATATTTTGCTATCGCTAATTCAGCCCATAGCTTCATGGTCTATCTTGAGGTTCTGTCTAACCCCCAGTCGTCATCATCGTTTAACTTGAGCCAGACGTGACTACTTGGTCAAATATAGCGAATTCCATCTTGTTACAACTTCGCGATAAGATTTTGCTATTTCGCAATTCTACCTTTTGACTCCTTGGCATTCTTGTGCATCCCCATAAAAGTGCCTCAAATTTCTCACTCCATTCTCTCAACCGTAACTGGTTATTGTCTGTTAGGAAAGGAATAAATTAAGTGATGCCTTTTCAGGGTTTCAACGGGTTCTCGGTCATATATAGTCTTCTCTTCCGTCACACCTCAGCGAGCTGATCTTGCTACTTAACAAGAAAAAGAGCTTTTCAAAGACACAATGCCACCCGGCGAAGATTCTTATCAGTGGATTGACATTTATGCGTGACCACTAATACATGTAACGTTTCCTTCGCTTTCATGGTCGTCGATTTTTCTCGCGACTCTAACGTTAAAATAGAATGGTCCCAATTGAGCTAAACATGTATAAAACTGCTTCGTAAAAGCTGGATTGACACACATTTAACATTATGTATTTAAATGGAACGATAATTTTTGGAACGGAAAATAACCTCAGGAATTCGACTACTAACTGAGCTCTCTTCCATCCTTCTGTTCCACAATTTAGTGCTCTGCTCTTCAACCTGCTCTTCGATCTGGCGCGCACTTCATACGCCCTGCAGGATCAGCTTGCGCGCACCAACGGACTGGTGGTATTCGCGCAGGCTCTCTGGCAATCATCTCCCGCCCACCTCACCGAGTCGCTGCTCAATGGCTTGCTGGAGGCGGCGCGGTACCTCACCCGCGAGCTGCTCTCTGCCTCACCCTCCTCTCTTGCTGCCGGTGTTCCCTCCCTCCTCGTGCTCTTCCGACAGCTCTTCAACAAGCTGCTCTTTGCTAATGGCTTGTGGCTGAGGGCCCCAGTTAGAGTGAGCTACTTCTTTTTCTCCCTGTGTTGTCCAAATTTTTTGCAGGAAATGGCTTTTGTCATTTCCTACTTACCGTTTTCGAATTGCTACAGTGAGTGACAACTTAAATATTCCTGAATCCATCCCAAATTAAGTCATCCGTCCTGGATTTACCTATTCATCCACCTTTGACCTGTCTTAGCCCAACTCATTCATGCATCTGAGATAGGTCTATTCGTCCATACAGCGTATATCAATTTATCTGTCTAATTTATCCATTTTTAATCTCTTTATTTCGGACACACCCATCTATCTTGCATCCGTCCAAGCATCCATCTGTCTTTCCACCCAGAATTTATCCAATCATTCTTATGCTATCCATCCCAGTGTCGTCCATTCTCCTCAAATATCAAAACCCATCTCTTCATCTACTTCTGCCCAATGAGTGCACGCATGTTTCCATCCGCTTACCTGCCTCATATCTATTCGTTTATTCCTGTTTCCTCCATCTTGAATCTACTCCCTCATCTATCGCTGAATCGTCAATGAACTTGTATGTAGCCCACTCGTTTATCCGCCTACGATCCATTAATTTATCTTGGATGTTTCCATCCATCCATCTATCTATCTTGCATCCACCCATTTATACATTTCGTATCCATTCATTCATTTTGTATCTATCTATCCATTTATTCATCCATCCTGTCAGCAAAAGTGTCTCAAATTGAACTGTTTAAAAAAAGGTCAATGATTTTTTTCGCTCCCTTCGGTACCATCCCAGTTGTTGCGATCACATTACACTTCACAGAGATTATTCAAAAGATGTAGATGCAAATTTTCTACGGTGCATTGAATAGAGCGTAGAAAGATATCTCAGTTTTTCACACATCTCTTAGCCGCATTTCAAAGATTTTTAAAATTCTTTTTTGGACTTCGTTTAATTGCTCATTCGTAATACTGAGGTAAGGCCTTACGAAGCAATATTATCCCGTTCTTGGAAGAAATAAAATTGAACAGTCTCGGTCCTCTCATTGCCTTTTTGTGAGGCGAGTGTCAAGTTGTTGCTTTTATCTTCAAAGCTCCCTCTTAATGTCACCTGTTAACCCGATAGGAACGAGTCCTAGTCTCCTGGCACACCAGTTTCTAAATAATGATTAGTTTCGTTAAGTAGATATTCACCCGCTTCATCTACTCCAATGAAAAATTCCAATCCAGCTAAACCTTTCATTAGTTCAGCTCATCTTCCTGCAAATGGTGTGAGTCAATTGCCCCTTTCGTGATTGTTTAAGGTGAATGCTTACCCGACATTTCGTTGAATTATTTTCCACACCTTTCGAGTGGTGGGAATAGGTTTCGTACATCCTATCCATCGCGTCGAAATGGCAAACACCACCTTTCTGGCCACTGCAAGACTTAGTTGATCTTGCCTCCACGCCTTGTCTCCTTTTTTTGAATGCTCTCAACATTGTGTTCGACCATAACAAGAATTCCTCCTGATAGGATTTTCGGTTTAAAGTCACTCTTACTTTTTAGTTGTTTAGAAATCAGTGTTTTTTCTCTGCTCATGATACCTTGTTGTGCTTTAATGCTACAGCAGTGTTAACCTTGAATGCGTATCTAATGGCAGTTTTTGATGTTGGTATCTTTTGCTCCCAAGGTCGTTAGGAACGGCTGCGTAGATCGGCTTAATTTCCCCCTTCCCTTGATCTCCCGGAATTAGTCATATTTCCTTCTTATGGCTCTCATCTTTGTAAATCTACTATTTCCTCCTTCTTATTGCGCTATCAGAATTGTTTCCTGAGTCTATTCATTCAGTATCTATCTCAGGTGATTTCCTTCTTGAAGATCGCCACTAATTTGACAGTAAAATCCGAGAAGCTTTATGTGAGACATTAGGGAAAAGTAAAAATTCCATCACGGAGAGGGCGTGACTTAGTCTTACAAAAAAGTACCTGCTCATATGCTATAATCTGTTTAGTATTTTTGTTTAGCATCTAGTTTTTAGTTTTTTTTAGTCGCAGTCCAATTCGTGCCGCATTTAAGCGACACCATCGCAATTATGGTTATGATTGGCGCTTCCTAATAAGCTCTTTTGCATTACCTCCCTCCAGCTTTAACAGAAGTGAAGGTAAACTGCCCTAATTTTAATCTTTTTCTGGCATGAACATATGCGCAACAGACTTTCAGGAGTAGTTTCATTCGTTCTGAAATGCCTTATCCCTCCTTACCATCCACATCGCATCTGTAGAAAGCTAAATCAGCACTATTTTGGTGGCTAGGCGCACAATCCCTTGGTTTGGACTCTATTAAGGATTGCCTTTTTACTCAAAGCGGACAATGGAAATCTTTTACGCCATTTTATTGTGTTTTTCGCTACTTCTCTGGCACGCAAAAGCACCCGTATTGTTCTTCCGGAATTGGTTGTGCTCTGGAAATTGCGGTCTAGTAATGTAGTGCTCCTGCCGTGAAGTTTCGTTACATATGCAGAGAGGCCGTTTTCCATGTTTTTCTGGGAGAGTATTTGATACTTTTTTATTAATATGGAGCTCCTGCTCTTTGTCTGTGGTGACTTCGTCTGAGTCTACTAGCTCCTGTGTCGTGAATTTTCGTAGTCTTTTCTTGAATGGCTTGGCCAGCTTGAGGCAGTCCTACAGTGTATTCTATATTTATTTCATAATACTATAGGCTCTGACACTTATTTGACGTCGATTAATAGTGGCCATCCTGTTGGGCACTGCTTCCAACGGCGACTGACCTACTGTTACAACTTACTTGCCTCGAAAGTATCCAAACCAATCTCCCATATTTTGTTCTGCTCGTTGATGAAAGTAAGCAATTTTGATCTTTTGATCACGTTTCTCTATCAGCCGCTTGCCAACCGGTGTAATTACTCGTTCTTCCATATTGAAGGCAAATTCACCTGAGCGTGTTATGCTGCAGTCTGTAACTCGTGTCTGGTTTGATCTTGTCTTAGACGTGCATCCGGCGGTACACCTTTTTTCTTTAGTAGTTGAACCGTTCTCAGAATTCACTTACTTAAAATTATTCTACAAACTATTCTAATGTCGACACTAGATCAAGAAGAAAATTCCGATACTAATTCAAACAATAGGGTTGAAATTGAGGAAACAAGTCAATTTCCTCCGTCAGTAGTTTAGTCAAATGCCCATAGTTGCTGTACTCGTTGTCAAAGTTGTCATTTTTAACCACTGCATGGGAGCCATTTCTTGTTTTTACTGACGGGATTATCCAATATCTTTCCACTGATAGTTTTCTCATGTTCTTTTTTGTACAAAGAGACTCAGAATGAGGAAGTAAAATGTGTTATTTCTTTCCTTCATGCGCGACGTACAGGTGCAAGATCGACTGTACGGTTTCCTGGCCGATGAGTTTCGCGTGGATTTGCTGGGTCAGTCGGGAAAGTCGATTGTGGCCTCCGCACTGCATGCTATTAAATACTACTTCTGGATGGTTCAGCCCACCGAACCCCTCCTCGACTCCACTCCAGGTCAGTAAACATTCGTTAGTTATTGTTATCTGTAGTGAGCTCTTTCAAACATGATCTCTACCCGTGCTTGCCTATTGTTCATGCTCGGTGGTAGAGATCAGAGCTCTGGAAGTACTGAATACTTTGAATTTACCCATGATTATTTGACAGAACACGTTAAACCTGCTTAGCTATACTATATTTTATGCCAAAGAACGATACATTAATCCGGATATTTGGGGCACATTCTTAGTATGCATATGCTAGATGGACCATCTACGGTTTCTTTCACTTGCATTGAATCGAAAGATGAATCCATTTGTTTAATGTGTTAGGAGTCTATTTGAGAATGGCCGACAGCATGAACTTCGGCCACATTTTGGTCTAGTCAGTAGCTAGCAAAAAGTTTGGTCTCTTTTGTGTCCCACTTTGCTAGCATCGGAAGCCCGTATCTGCGTCCCTGTTCCTTTTGTGTTTGTGCTATAACTATTGTTTTCGTCAGTGAGCTTGAATCCTGTTGGGCAGTCCCATTCTCATCTGCTCAGAGTATTTCATTTTGCCTTATTGCCACACTTAAAATCTACCTTCCGGAATTTTTTGGAACCAGCTATGTATGATGAAGATTCTGGAAGATATGAACTGGAACGCCGTCTGTGACCAAAACAGTAAATAGCGAATGTCATCGGCTCTAGCGTATATTACTTTGAGGATACGAATTATGGTGACTCAGGCCTTCATATTGAATAGCAGTCTCCATTCCTGTGTCTGATTTCTCACTGGGCTTCGTTAGGATTCGCAAGCAATTTTGACCCAACCAACAGTTTTCAATTAATATTTCGTG